AGACCAGAGGGTTAAACCCGGCCTGTGTACCCGTCCAGGGCGTTCACCTGATGGACAGGGGTTAGAGGTTAGACCAGAGGGTTAGACCCTCTGTGCCCGTCCAGGGCGTTCACCTGTGGGGACAGGGGTTAAACCCAGCCTGTGTACCCGTCCAGGGCGTTCACCTGATGGACAGGGGTTAAACCCAGCCTGTGTACCCGTCCAGGGCGTTCACCTGAGGGACAGGGTTAGACCAGAGGGTTAAACCAGAGAGTTAAACCCAGCCTCTGGACCCGTCCAGGGCGTTCACCGGCAGGACATGGGTTAAACCCAGCCTGTGTACATGTCCAGGGCATTCACCTGAGGGACAGGGTTAGACCAGAGGGTTAAACCAGAGGGTTAGACCCGGCCTCTGGACCCATCCAGAGTGTTCACCTGCAGGGACAGGGGTTAAACTCGGCCTCTGGACCCGTCCAGGGCGTTCACCTGAGGGACAGGGTTACACCAGAGGGTTAGACCAGAGGGTTAAACCCGACCTCTGGACCCTCCAGGGCGTTCACCTGAGGGACAGGGGTTAGACCAGAGGGTTAAACCTGGCCTTTGTACCCGTCCAGGGCGTTCACCTGCAGGGACAGGGTTAGACCAGAGGGTCAGACCAAAGGGTTAAACTCGGCCTCTGGACCCTCCAGGGCATTCACCTGCAGGGACAGGGTTAGACCAGAGGGTTAAACCCAGCCTCTGGACCTGTCCAGGGCATTCACCTGCACCGCGGGGACCAGGGTTAGACCCGGCCTAGGGCTGAGATCAACTGGAACCTGGCTGAAAACTGACCCAAACCTAACCTAAATCTAACCTTCACTTAAATCTGACTTAAACCTAACCAAAACTTGACCTAAACCTGACTGAAACCTGACCTAAACCTAGCTTAAACCTGAGCTAAACCTAACCTAAATCTAACCTTAACTTAAATCTGACCTAAACCTAACCGAAACCTAACCTAAACCTAACCAAAACCTGACCTAATTGTACCCGAAACCTGACCTAAACCTGACCAAAAGCTGACCTAAACCAAACCTAAATCTAACCTTAACCTAAATCTGACCTAAACCTAACCAGAACCTGACCTAAACCTCACTGAAACCTGACCTAAACCTAACTGAAATCTGACCAAAACCTAACCAAAACCTGACCTAAACCTACCTGAAACCTGACCTAAACCTAACCTCAGTTTAAGTCTGACCAAAACCTGACCTAAACCTGACCTAAATGTAACTGAAACCTGACCTAAACCTCACTGAAACCTGACCTAAACCTGACCAAAAGCTGACCTAAACCAAACCTAAATCTAACCTTAACCTAAACCTGACCTAAATGTAACTGAAACCTGACCTAAACCTCACTGAAACCTGAGTAAATCTACCTGAAACCTGACCTAAACCTAACCTTAAATTAAATCTGACCTAGACCTTACCTGACCTAAACCTTTAAGTTTAAGTTAATGCCAACCTTAAATTAGGCTCAGTTTAGGTTTAAATTAAACCTAATCTTTAATTAGGTTTAATGCCCCAAAATCCCACTAAGTCCCACAAAGATCATTGAGTCCAACCCCTGACCCTGCACAGGACCCTCCCCTAAAATCCCACCAGGGTCATCCAATCCAACCCCTGCCCCAAAATCCCCAAATCCCAACCCCTGGCCCTCGTACAGAACCCCCCAAAATCCCACAAGGATCATCTGGTCCAACTCCCGCTCCAAAATCCCCAAAATCTCCAAATCCCAACCCTTGGCCCTGCACAGGACCTCCCAAAATCCCA